CAGCGGCGACGGGCCAGACGCGCTCCGCAGGCGCCACGGCAGAGGGAAAGCCGCCATCCGCACAGCGAGAGAACGTTTCCCCCCCTTCCCTCCTTAGCATTCCCTCCACCGTCGGCCTCGTCGCTGGCAGAGCTCGCTGCGAGCCCGCAGACCCTGTGACACCAGCTGGAAGGAAACCGGGGGATTTCTGGCCTCAGCAGCTCAACCTGTGTCGCTGCAGTGATTTCTGCACAGTGCAAATTCTGTTCTCGGCCGGCTAAACCGCACCTCAGCAGCGACCACCCGAAAGCAAGCTGCCCCTCGGCTTTGCCTACCCCTTCCCCACACCCATCTCCCGACCCATCATGGATTCCGAGGGACAGAAACATTCATTTTTCAGTCATGGAAGACAGAGCAGGCTTTGCCCTCGGTAGCTGGGACAAAGCGGTTTTGCTCCAAGCGGGACGACCTGCTGTCTTCGCCCTCTTTAGTGATTCTCTTGTGCTCAGACCGCGTGTGGTTGCGTGCCCAGCTCGGCACGGACAGACTGACGAGCCCCAGCCACGTCTCCACGGGTGCAGCTGCTGGCACACAGCAGCAAGCGTGCAAACTCTCCCGACCATCGCCTCGCGGGATATCCGCACATCGGAGCGAGACGAAAGCCCGTGGCTTGGCCCTGGAGCCTCCCTCGCTGGCAGGGCAGAGCTCCCAGGCCACGAAAGGTGTCTGTGGAGCCCAGCGTGGGCAGAGGGACAGGGACTGCAGAAGTGACAGTGACCGAGACACCCCCGACCTCCCCATCAGCACCGCGTGCTTGGCCGGAAAGTGGTTACACGAGTGACTTGCTCCAGGCCTGTTGGGACGTTAGGGATGTCCGTTCTCTTGTTCTTTTTCCTCCCTCCTCTTCCCGCGCATCCAGCCTTACGGTACGGCGGCATCCCGCCCTGCTCCGGTCACCTCCGTGAGCCCCCTTCCTCAGGCTCCCTGTCCGCTGCGCGCACCGGGAGGACGCTGCGGCGAGAACCAGGCTCTGGCAGAGGAGATGCTTT